CACACACACACACACACACACACACCTGGCGGCGCCGACAAACAGACACCCGGTGGTCGATGGCCGGCGAGCCGGCCTTCCAGCTGGACCTCCCCTCGCGCTATGCCAGCACACTCGGCATGGCCACCGGGCTGACCGCCTGCACCGGCATGGCCCTCACCGGGGCCGGGTCCCATCGGAAGATCGAGTACTCGATGGAGATCTTCCCCAATGAGCACGCATCCTCCTTGACACTTCGCTGCCCGCGGGGGTGCGTACGCACGCCGACGTCGACGCTCGCCCGATGGCCCTGATGGTCACACTAACCTGCGCCCGGTCCTCGGACGGTCGGCCGGCCTCGTGAACGGCCATATGACGCCGCAGCGCGGCTCTCATCATCCAGCAGCACCTGTCCCAGGACCTGATCGTGGACCCGCACGAGGTGACGCACCTGATGAACCACCCGCCGGAGGACGGCCAGGCGCGGCTCCTGTCGGCCCGGGTCTTTGGCGGCCTGCGGGAGCTCGAGGCGCCGGCCATCCACAGTGCCCCGGGCATGGTGCAGCTGGCGGTGCCCCTGCTGGCCGGGCGGCCATTCCGGGCGAGCGCCGCCCCGGGCGAGGACCCGCACCCGGCGGCGGTCGGCTACCCGCTGACGCTGCGCTTCAGCCTCCCGGTGCATGGGCGCTATCCGCCGCTGGTGCCCGGGGTGGCTGGTGACGGCGGGGCCGATCTGGTCCTGGCCCCGGTGTGGGGCCCCACCTCGGCCAGCCTCATCTGCCAGGGCCTGGGCGCCGAGGGGGACACCCCGAGCGGGGATCTGGTCCTGCCGGTGTCGGTGCAGCGCTGCTCCGGCAGCATGGCCCCCCGGCCGGGGGCCGTCACCATGACCCCTCCGCTGGAGGCGTCCACCTCGCAGCCGCTGGCATTGCCGGCCGCGCGAGCCGTGCGGGCCAGCTTTTGGGCCCTGCCGGCCGGCCGGGCCGGGGACGCCGACCGCATCCGCCGGTGGACCGAGCTCACCGGCCTGGCTGGGGCTCTGGCCATCGTGCTGGCCGTGGCCGGGCGCCGGTTCTTCCGCCGGGGCTGATGTGCCCGTGCGCCGGGGCAAAATAGACAGCCAGCCAGCCAGTTCCTCCGCTGAGCTGGGCCGGTGGGGGTGGTGGGGGGG